TGTGTGTGTGTGTGTGTGTGTGTGTCTGGCTGTGTGTCTCTCTGTGTATCTGTGTGTCTGTGTCTGTGTGTCTGTGTGTATGTGTGTCTGTGTATGTGTGTCTGTCTGTCTGTCTGTCTGTGTGTGTGTGTCTGTCTGTCTAATATGTCAGCGCAAAGTATTTTCTCTATGTTTAGTTTGTGCATGGTTTGGCCTTTTGCTGTGTATAAGTGCAACACCTTCCTTATCTGCTAAAAAAATTCAGTGCCGGTTATTTAGGAGTGCCTCCAACACTACTAGGGGGCATGATGTGTTCAGGCCGCCTGTGCATCTATGCTCAGCGGTGAAGACAGACATTCATGAAAGCGAGTCCCTAAGGCTGATGATGTTGTGAAACTAGAGGCTGTGTGGTTCTATCTGTCAAGTGATGAGATCTGCTTTGGTATTTGCTGTATGTGTGGACTGCCTTGTCGGTGCTGTCATGCTGCCTGACTGCGCATCCGCTCGCCTTGTGTTGCTGGGCTGCTTGCCCGCTTGCCTGCTTGTCATGCTGCGTGACTGCGCATCCGCTCGCCTTGTGTTGCTGGGCTGCTTGCCTGCTTGCCTGCTTGTCATGCTGCCTGACTGCGCATCCGCTTGCCTTGTGTTGCTGGGCTGCTTGCCCGCTTCCCTGCTTGCCTTGTGTTCCTATCGTTTTGCCTGCCCTCTCGGCGCTGGCCCACCTGCGGTTGCCCACCTGCGCACTCTCTGCTCTATGGTTGCTTGCTTTGCATTGCCCATCTGCTGGGCTTGTGTCGCAGTGTTGTTCGTCCTCTTGCCTCACCAGCTCACTTGCCTGGTTGCCTTGCTTCCTCCCTGGCCGCCTCATCGCCATTTGCTGCGTTGTGTGCTTGCCGAGGTTGAGTCTTCCTTTCTGCACGGCTGGGCCGCCTCAGAAAACAGGGTGACCCGCGCAGCCCGGCTGGTAGCCTAGTTTACAATGGGTTATTGATTATCATTGGAAAACAATTCTTAGAATATTTATTTGAATTTTGAAATTTGAAATGCTTTCCGGTATCGTTAATTAATTGAGTAAACGTTTCCGCTAAAAAAGAAGTTGTAACTGCATTCATTAAATAATATTTCAACTAATAAAGCTTAGATTCAAAAAATAAATCCTCGGCACACCTCCACAGCACACCCACAGCACACCCACTTCTTTCCCATAAGTGGAGTACATCCAGATGTGCTCTTGTCCACCAAAAGTCCCACTGAGCCCTTCATTTTGCATCAATGTAGCCTGCTCCATGCCGGACTGCCCTCCATAACTCTTCACAGAAATCTTTTTTTTTTTTTCCTTTTTCTTTTCTTAAACCTTCTTTCCTTTTTTTCACAGAAATTTTCGTTGTCCCCACAATGTTCCCAGCTCCAACCTGCAGTTTCCTTTACACCTTTCTGGATTTTTTTTTTTTTTTTTTTTTTTTTTTTTGATTGGATGTGAAACTGCAAGGATCCTGACTGATCACAACTTGCTCGAATGTCTCATTCACATGCACACGTATCACCAAACACAGATAGGATAGCTTCACACAAAGCTCAAAACTGAGATGAGAGAAGAACCAAGTAGCGCAGCTTATATTGTCAAAATCACGTTATACAAGAGTATCTCAAGTTCAAGAGTCCAGCGCCCAAAGTATACAAGTCTCTCCTTCGTACCAACATACATACAGAGCCTGGCTTAGACAGCGCTTGTTCCAGTTCTCAAAAAGGGCGCCAACAGGTAAGTTTCCACCATAACCAATGTCTCCACCTGTCTTCACTCTCCCTTGTTCTCTTCTCTCAAGATCTCTATCCTGGTTCTCCTTGTCTCTTCTTACATGCACACTCCCTGTCTACAAGGATCTACTCAGAATGCCTCTCGCTGATGTTCTAACACTAACCCTGTTAATACTACTACTAACTCTAGCTTTGCCTGGCGCAGCTATGGCTCCTGCAGCCAGCGGAGCTTCCCTTCCTCTGGTGCAGCTTCCTCTTCAGCCAGCGCTCCTCCCTGCACCTTAACGCACAAGTGCCTCAGCACTTCCACGTATCAATGCCAATGGGAATCTGCCTTGTGGGGAGGCTGCCTCATTTCTTATAGTGCTGGTCTCCCCTGGCGAGGTCTGAATTCAGTCTTTGTTGGTCCTTTTCCCAGTCCCAGCCTCTGTGCTGTGTGCCACAGTTCCTTTTCCTCAGGGTCCACTGCTGCTGCGGCCTTCAGGCCTCAATTTCGGACTGCAAACCTGAATCTGGACTTCTCCTTTGACTGGAATCCTGACTGGGACTCAACCTTTTGACTTCCTTTTGAAAGGACACACCTGCTATAAGTACAGACATACATTTTACACGAACAAACACATACTGTACGTACAGACAACTTTTGCATGAACAGACATGGACTGCACATCCCCTGGATGAACAGTTGTGTTTGAACACTGCGACTGTTCGTCCAGGACACAGCTTCTGACCTTTGACAATGATCTTTACTTCGTTAGGATGTGCCTTTTGACCCAAAGAACATGCCTGTTGATCTGCTTTTCACGAGTTGAGGGTCTGGTGAGTGACCCCTCTATGCTGCACTTCTCAAACAGGGTCTGAATCGGGTGAACTTTTAAGGCCCTTTTAAAACTGTTAAATTTAATCAAATTACATTGGATGACATAACAAGGGCGTAACCCCGGTTTGGAAAGTTTTTTTTTCACAGCGTCACACAGACCCTTTAAAAAAGACAATTCATCATAGAACCCTAGGCTTTAGAAAAGTGATTTTTACCCACCCTCAAGTGGGGAAAAAAAATCCATCACAGTGCATGTGTGTGGCAGCTGAGCTAGTCTAGATCTGCTTTCCACAAACCTTTCTGGATTTCTAGATTCTGTGATTAAACCACCAGTACTTCCAAGGCACTTTTGCCCGGGTCTCCAAACGCCCTGCCTTCGACAAAAAAAAAAAAAAGATAATAATAAAAAATAGAACCCCCTCACGGGCCCGCAGGCCTCGTTTCCGCTGTTCCCACCAGCCCTTTTGCTCTGGCAGCCGACAAAAGTGGCACCAGCATGCAAGGCACGTTGGAGAAAAATGGCTGGGAAATGTACTCGAGGTTTAAAGCACTATTACCCTCAACCTGCGGCGGCCTTATAACGTCCCCCCTTCCCCGCCCCTCCCCCCCCTACATACTCAGAGGTATCCCCTGCCCTACAGAAGGTCAGTCTTATACTTTGTATCCAGCCATTCGTGTACCCAGCCGGATATGAACTCACGACCTATTGATCGACAATTGTCCGTTGAGAATGCATGTGTGTACCAATTAGAAACTTAGAGGAGAACATACTAGCACGTACTTGAGAGTCTCTTTACTAACACTACACCATCAGATATTAATTTAATTTATTTATTTATTTATTCAAAATACCACACACACACACAGGGGTGCCCCTTCTATTCTGGGGGGCGTCAATTCGGTAGCTGGTCCCCGGCAAGCAGTAAACAAGGTGGACTTGTGGACCAATGCATAGGAATATAGACCCGGGAGGACGCAGAGGACTTGGTCGCAGGCAACAGGTTCCCAGCTTTTCTTACCTTTTAAAGTTTCTCCCTGTGGTTGACCTTTGCATTTCCTCTGCACCTTTTTTTGCTTCCTGCAATGAACCCACAAATTCAAACTGATCCTTGTCATTTTTATGCACATACACAGCTGCCCCCATCTATTCAGCAGGGGCGGAAACAGTCCGGTTGCTCATCATCGGCCAACAAGTTTACCAGAATAAGGAAAATGATCAGTTAGTAGCTGGGATCAACAAGTCCACACTTCATGACACCAAGCTCCAAACACGAGATGCAGACCGACACGAGTTGGACACACTTTAGGAATTATTCGGAAAAAAAACAAAGTCTTATGCATACCCACTTGGGCGGCTGTGGCCGCCAAGAAACCTCAACAGGTATGACTGTCTCTCCCTCTCTCACTACCTAATGCTACCATCAGGTCTCTCTCTCTCTCTCTCTCTCTCTCTCTCTCTCTCTCTCTCTCTCACACACACACACACACACACACACACACACACACACACACACACAACTAAGCTATGGCACACGGCGCTGTTGCCTACCCTCTACGACTGCCTCTCAGCCTCACTCGATGCTTGGTAGCACTGGACCGCAGCAGCGTTTCCAAGGCAAGCTCGGATGGAGATTGCGGTTGCGCCTGGCTGCCACCGGACTCTGGTAAATTGCTGCAGTTCTCAATGACGGACTTTTTCAGTAGTGGTACCTGCCTTCGCCGGCTGAAATCGGCCGTCGGCGCATCGACTAGTTTCTCTGACTTCCCTGGGATCGAGATGCCAATCCGGTTGCACTGAGCAACATATCTACTGGGTCCTGTAGGCCTTGCGGACTCAACCTAACATCCCTCCTTGTACGGCGGGTACTGTGGTACATGGGACTTTGGCATCGGTACTGCGACATGGACGCTGAGATGCATGAAATCCATTCAGTCCATTTCGACCTTCACCTTCCTGACCTCGAAGTCTCTCCCAGTTTTGGACTTTTGAAGCTCTTCGGCCACTGCTGCCATTTTTGCCTTCACATTTCTTACCTCAACCTCCAACTCATGAATCTTTTTGGCTCGGATTCTCCCCTTCCTCTCATGCTCTGCTCTCAATGCATCCACTGCTTTCTCATGCTCTGCTCTCAATTCGTCCACTGCTTTCTGATGCTCTGCTCTGAGGTCATCCACTGCTTTCGCATGCTCTGCTCTCAATTGGTGCACTGCTTTCATGCACTGTTCAATCCCCTTTTCAAAGTACAACGGATTGGCACACTCGGCCTCGTTTTCCGACTCTCGGATCCGCTTCCGACACACCGGTGCCGGTTTGTCAAATGGTTCGGCGGTTGTTGCTCCCATTCGAATTCGTTTTGCAGAAAAGGAATTCTTAAACCTCTCCCTCTCTTTCTCCTCTCTTATCTCTCTCGTAGATACCTCCAGTACCAGAAACATCCCCTTACCCCCAAAGACAAGCACATTGAAATTTCGGCAAGGAACAATGTTCTGAACATTGAAGCTCCTCAAAATGCGGGTGACACTGTTCCAAACATTGGCGTTCTCACGGTGGCTTACATTCACCACGATGAATTCCCGCAAGCGGCCCTGTTCCCATCGGGCCCATCCTCTTCGCAAAGCTCACACAAATACGTCGACACTAGTCGATAGCTTGATGCGCTCCAAATCCGAATTTCTCCCGCATCTGATATGCTAAATATGTATGGCAAGTCCGGATGGAAGAACCCCGTTTTGTAGAGAAAATAAGCACCACCTAGCTTCAGTCTGGCCAAAGTAACTCCCTCCTTGTAGTCCCAGATCCATAGAAAATAATTGCAAGATCTCTCATCATAATGAACAGAGAGAAGAAGGGGGTTGTGAGGGTCTCTACAAAAGTCAATCTTGTAGATGCTCGACATCTCAACATGTTCAAGCGTCCTCGCAGCGTAGCCTTTATCTATATCCCATATCGTGATTTTGCCATTGGAGACACTTGCAAAGATTTGTGATTCCATTGGATGAAACAGTAAATCTACCATCCGAGAGTCTATTTGAAATATAGTCTTCTCCTCCCGCTCGTGATACCAGTCCCACAAAATAATGGTCTCGTCCCAAGAGGTCAGTATATAAGGCAAGGCATTATGGACTGCCAGTCTGTAAAAATGTTTGTCACTCGGTCCCTCAAGAGCTATGATGCACTCTGCAGTTGCACCTTGCATTTCATAGACCAGGGCCCGTTCAGAGCATCGGACGACAACCCAATTTTTCTGCGCTATAAAGGCATCGTAGGTACTCTCCCCCTCAGGATTTAGCCAGGAGGCAACACACGTCCCGTCTTCGTAGTTCCAGATATGAAGCGACTCGTGATCGGGTGTGAAAAGAACCCATGGCTTGTGTGGATGCACGTCGACCCACGTCGTCCAGCTTGAACAACCACCCTCCACGATGTCTGTCCCTTTCCACTGGGACTTGAGCTCCAGTTCAACATCACTTTCTAGGATGCCATCCCCTAGATTATCCATGGATGGACTCGTACATTGCACCTGTGACAGTCTTCCCTTGGAGACGTAAAGCGCCTATTCACTTATAACTATAACGTCCGAGAGCGTCAGATCTGCCACCGACACCGACACCATAGGCATAAGCGTGCAGGGGACAACCAACAACCAACACCACTCAGCAATCATCAGACAAATGATGTGAACTACTGTCATCGATCAACGGCCACAACCAAATGACCACACTCATTATGAAAAGGGTGAGAGACAGGCAGTGCCACCCAAGAGATGTCAGAAGGATGCCCAGTGCAAATTTTCTCATACATTTTGGAGTACCTTCTTCCGCCGAATACAACGTACGCCAGTCATTATAGCTGTATTTGAGGCATCTTTCAGTCTAGATACAGCTATAATGACCGTACGTTGTATTCGGGGGGAAGAAGGTAGTCAGGAGTTATCACAACTTGTCAGTCAATTTCTAATGTTGAATTCTCAAGTTTGTAATGCAGAGCACCAGTGAGCGACAAACAGATGGAGTAGATAATTCGGAAGTGCTGCTCATTTCTTTATTCTTTTCCTGCTTTTCTAGTGTATTTAAAATATGGGAGATGCCCTTTACTTTCATTTATTTATAATTTTATACTTTTTTTTTTTTTTTTGAACCACCAGTACCCGATGTCAGATTAGACACAATATTGAATTTACCTGGGCTGGTTAGTCCAATGATAATACCTGAAGGCCATCGCCCTTTTTAAAAAACAAAAGTGGTGCCCGTTAAGAAGCGACAATTTTAGGAAATTTACGGGTCACTACAGGAGCACCCAAATTCATCCGACTAGAAACGTTTCTACTCTTTTTTTTTTTCCGCAGCAGTACTGGTGGTTTAAGGCAATTCTCTTTGACAATGTGAGGATTGAGCCCTCTCAGTGGTCCCTCTGGCCGCAGCACCTGATAGACAATGAGCCTCCAGCAAGCATCACCGCCGTATTAAGTGAAGGCCGTCGTCCTACATTTCGACGTCAGGCCTCAGTTTTGTCATTTCTCCATATGAGGGCGCCAGACAGTTGCCACACACCAGTTGGTTACAAGGGCCACGCCAGTGTGAACACGACATCCTGAGCCACAGGGCTCTTCCCAGCAGCCACGTGGCTGAGGGCCTCTCAGCAAATGGGGTGGCAGCAAACAGTGCTGGCCACATCGCACGGTTGGGCAGCTTAACTGCTGCGGGCCTGGGCCACTGTCTGCGTGGGGCCTGGGTGCAGACACTTCGCCCCCAAGTGAAGCTACTGGGCACATGGTCATCAGACCCAGGGCAGCCAAAGGCAGGCCGCACTTTCCATATAGGAGAGTGGTCAGGGCAGGCGGGCACATTCTGGCAGTGCACTGGCGGGTGGCCACGTTGCTGCACCAGAGTACTGGCTTGCTGCGTGAGCGCTGACTACCAGCGGGCGCACGCGGGCGCTAGAGGTGAGAGAGGGCGCAGCAGGGTCTGCGGGCGCTGAGCAGCCATAGCCAGGCTTGACTGCTGCGGGCCGCTCAGCCAATGGGGTGGCAGCAAACAGTGCTGGCCACGTCACATGGTTGGGCAGCTTAACTGCTGCGGGCCCTGGCCACTGTCTGCATGGGGCCTGGGTGCAGACACTTTGCCCCCAAGTGAAGCTACTGGGCACATGGTCACCAGACCCAGGGCAGCCAAAGGCAGGCCGCACTTTCCATATAGGAAAGTGGGCAGGGCAGGTGGGCACATTCTGGCAGTGCACTGGCGGGTGGCCACGCTGCTGCACCAGAGTACTGGCTTGCTGCGTGAGCGCTGACTACCGGAGGGTGCACGCGGGCGCTAGAGGTGAGAGAGGGCGCAGCAGGGTCTGCGGGCGCTGAGCGGCCATAGCCAGGCTTGCTCAGCGGTGGCCAGTGTGGGCGATAGTGGTCTTCGGGAAGAGGGCGCACATGTGGTGGGAGTCTGGGAGAGAAGCGGTTGAGCTGAGGGGAGAGAAGAGACACATACCTGGTGTATGCGGCAGTCTGCATTGATGACTTTGTCACATACATTGGTCTTCTGCTTGAAGTGGTTCCTTTGGCATCACGTAGTGTAGGCGAGAGTGAGTAGATGTAGGCAGGGCGCTGGGCTGAGGACTCCAACCAAGAAGGGCGACATTCAATATATTGTCTGTGGTGGCGAGTGAAGCTGACATTGACATTTGAGTTCATTGTATTGCTCTTATTGGGCTTGTATCTCGGTGCATTGTGCTTTATGCTTGGTACACGACTATCCGGTCTTCAGAGTGATATTGCAATTTGGTTTTCTGCATCGCTCTTGCTAATTTTCCTTGAAATTTGGTATCAGAGCTGATTCAGATATCGCCATACTGGCGCTGGTGTCTTGGTGCGCTGACAAAGCTGGCGAAGCTTCTCTGCAGTAAGGATACTTGGACGCTGGCTGATCGAGTCCCTCCCGGGTAGAGGGCAGTGGGCTGGAAGGCTGTGGCGACAACTGAAAGGCTGTGGCGACAACTGGAAGGCTGTGACGACAGCAGATGTATGTGGAATGATGAGGGCATGCTGACATGGCATTTGTTCCAAGGTGGCCCTGCATTGCATTGTGTGCGGTACCTAGGCTATGACCGGTCATCAAAATGGCATTGCACGTTGGCTCAATTGGTGAAAAATCTGTGGTTTGGGGCAGCTATCTCCAGGTACGTTGTCCCATACTTTATCTTCCCATCTCAATCTCTTCTTACCGTTAGGAAGGGAGTTCGGCTTGAGAGTCCTCCTCTGGTCAGGAGCCGTGAGTGCTCTGCCTTGAGAGTCAACACTCTTTCTGGCGGCGCATCTGGTGGGAGAGGGCGGTGCCTCTGAAGGGCCCTGGACGAAGCACGGGTCACGGTCACCATGCCAACCCAAGGGAGTAGAGAACGCATGCTTCGCTGCATTTTCATTTGAGCTCTAGCTGAGCATAGAGGGGGTGTTGGGCAGGCCAGCCTGATGGGGGATCAACGTGTACCGGACCGTCGTTAAAGATACTCTGGCGGGGAAACCGACTCGCGCTGTACGAGAGGATAAAAATAGTGCAGACGAGGCTGGCTTAGTCTTCATCACCTGGGCACAGGGGCGGACTGCTCAGCACACCATAGTCACCGCTGCTCTATTGATGCAGCCAGGACGTTGGATACAGGGAGGGAATGTTCCAATTGGTGCTCAATTATTATTAGCTGTTGTTTCCAGTTCTCGTGCATGTGTGCATTGCCAAGTGATTTATTTTTATTTCTATTAATAGTTGAGGTGCTTATGGACTGCTGACACTTGACCGACAGCGATAGAATAGAAATGTAGCAGTCTACCATTTCCAGTCCTGTTTATTGCTGCTGTTTTAGAACTGGTCGAAGGAAGAGTAAGATCATTTGCTGAGTCTGTGTACATTCTATTCACACCACCTGACAGGTACCCTGCGTCACATACCAACTATATATCTATCTATCTATATATCGTCACAAACAGAACTGCCCGGTAAACCGTAGGCAGAGAGAGAGAAGAGGACAACAAACGAGGGGCTGTGACAAACTGTTTCGTCGGAGTTTCACCGACTCATCATAGTCAAACAGAGCTGCGCGGTAAACCGTAGGCAGAGGTGGATAATATATATATATTTATTGCAACTTGGTCAGACGCATGCTGTGGTAGGTCCCAGAGAGGACACTATTTTTTGGTAGTGCAGACAGTTATTAACTGATTTAGCTGATGAGCGGACACAGCAGTGAGGAGGAGTTAAGCGACAACGGGAGAGTGTCACGGTAGACGGCACATAGGATGACGTATGTGAATCAGACCTTACCGCGCAGTGGAAAAAAAGATTTGCGTGTAGAAAGTGCTGCCCGTTGTGAGCAGCGGCGTAGGGAGGAAGCAGCAGCAGCAGCGCAGGCAAGAGCGGCCGCAATGGCTACTGCAGCAGCAACATCAGGCACACAGACTGTGTCACAGGTCTCTTCTAGCAGCGGGACAAGTGCAGATAGCTCTGTGAGTCAGATGGTCGGTTCAAACTTCACAGTACAACCAGCCTACTCAACTCACTAGAGAGGCCGCAGAGGCCCACCGATACCTTTAAACGCTACTGAGAAGAGCGTAACAGAGAAGTAACTTCAAGTAAGTGAGATAGAGAAGGAGC